TTTTGTATTTTCATCCTGCTGCAGATACAGCATTGGTGGATAGAAAAGAAAATAATTAATTCACAATTTATTTCTCTACAACAGATGGCAGAAATTTTCAAAACCGTTTGTCCTCTATTGCGTTTTCTAATGTTGAATAATTTCTCAACAAGCGCTGTCTTAAAATTTCTGTTCACAGTGAGGAGACAAAGAAAGGCCACGTGGAGGGACCTAAAGTCAGCGCTTTAGGTATGTTGATTCTTATGTTACCAAAATGCTATCTGCCTGTTAAAATCCTGTAAAAATGCAGACACTTATGTATATGTTTGTATTGTACGAATAGACAGAAGATAGAAAATCCACCTCCTGAAAAGCCCAGTTTGCTCCAAATTGTCAGCTCCACTGTCTCTCACTAGATCCTCATCTTACTCTGCAGAATTCCAGCATATATCCAACTCAGCCTGTAGACAAAGGCAGACCAACACTGTAAGGATTTGCTCAGCTTGTCACTAGAATATTTCAGCACATCTCTGAGAGGAGACATCTGCCAGATAGCTTTTAAAGTAAACTCTGCTTTTCTTTACAGGACTATAAAGGTTTAGGATTTAGATTACAATTATGGGCCGGATTTTGACCCGTAGGAACTTCCTTCTGTGAGACAACGGTACTGGTCACAGCACCCCGAGTCTCTTATCTGTGTAGTTCATCTCCAATGTCTTGGTAGCTTAAAAATATACTACAAAAAAACGCTCCAACTGTTTTTTTAGAGGTTGGCTTTGTAGTTTTACAACTACACACAAGCAAAGTTTAAAATCAGACATTATGAAGTATTGATAGGTTTTTAATTTGTAAATTAATTAAATACTTATATGAAATACCACATACATTTACTGGGCCATTAAAAAAAATTGACCATCAAAATAAACACCAGAATTAGGGTATTGAACATAATTTAATAATATCGTGTGTGTGTATATATATACATAAATGAACATGAATACTTAGATTTAGTAAAGAGCATGAATAAAAAAAAATATTTGACTTGAACTTTGATTTTATGTGAACTTAAATAGTTTATTCCTTTCAGTTTGATCACCTCACTATTACCATAGAGCTCTTTGTACACTAATGTTTCACTATTAAGGTTTTCCTTATTTACTGACTCGGGTTTTAAGAATATCCAAAAGGAAAACTGAGCCGAATAAATTTATTGTTTGAAACTCATCATGCTGTAACAACGGGAAAAGGTTTATTTCCAAAGGAAAATCAAATGTGGCCTCATAGTCCAGTGATGAACTGGTTAATGAGGTGTTGGGTAGGAATGACTTCTGATGCTCTCTGTCCCGTTCCTTTTTGTCCTTCAGAGAGCTCTTCAGGAAGTCCTGCAGGCGGCGGCGGCAACCTCAGGCAGCTTTTAGTGGTGAACTGTGACCTGGAGCAAGAATGTGAGGACTCTGAGCTCAGAGTGGCTCTGCAGTGGATTGCTGCCTCTGAGTTGGGCCTTCCTGCTCTCTACTTCAGGAAGTCAAAGGAGAAGAGGTTAACAAAGGTAGGAAATAGTTTACAAAAAATAGCAGGTGGTTTGTATTTACATACACAAACAGATTCAGTGTTGATTTCTTTTCTGTTCCTTCAGTTTCAAAGGGTGGTCCACCTGATGGCCCAGAAGGCATGGCGGATTGCTGACTTATTCAGCGCTGTGGTTCAGTTCTGTAAGCTACATAAGACCAAGGAAGAGGCAGACAGGTCTCTTCGGGCCAGCCTCTTTGACTGGCTTTTGGAAACCCTTTAGGACAAACTGACCTCATCTTCCTGCAAACAGCAACACATCGTCGCCTGTCATAGTTGGTCTGCAATGAGTTTGTTACTGTTTGCCCCATTCTGTCTCTTCTCCTTGTTTGTCATTGTAATCTGGAAACACCTTTTTTTTCCCCTCCAGGACTGAGAAAGTCCAAATTGGTTCTCCAAATTGGTTTTGCCAGTTTACAGGTGGAATTTGACCAGCTTCCCTTTAATTCCAACATACTATGTTTTACATTTTATCTCTCATGCAAGTTGCCTACACAGCTAAAGCCAACAATACCAGCGGAACATTTCTGACGGGAGCCAACTTTCAAGATTTATTTTTATTTTTTTTTAAAGTAAGCATGCTTTAACAACACCAAAAAATATATAAAAATGAAGTAAAACAACAAAAAATAAATAAATCTGAAATCAATAGCTAGCTAAATCAGCACTCTAAGATGTTAGATCAAAATGGCTCAAATAATATCTCGTTTTTCTTTCTCAACTCTTACATGCATATCATCACATCTTTCTTTTGTTCTTTGGCCAATCTCTGTAGTGACTATGAAATCCATTCCTAAGTCAATATGTTGTTTATCCTCTTGTTACCTGAGATCTGTTTATTTTGGATAGTCGTGCTGTAAATACTGTAGATTTTGGAACTGTTGCACCTTGGAGTAGTGGACTGCTCTCTTTAGCTTTTAATATGTCCAAAAGACAAAGTGAGGTTTGTAATGTTAAATTTGTATGTGGATTTGCTCGTCTATTTCTCTACTTAGTGGTAAAATAGTGTAACATCAGCATCAGGGGGTGAAAAGAAGCACACACAATTCAGCTGTAAACTCTGTCTCAGTGGAACTGAATGTATTTATCTTTTGACATCAATAAATGTCTGTGATGTGAAGAAACACGCGTTTGGAAAATCATTTACGCTTGATGAAAGGACTACGAGAGTATCCGACCTTTACCTGCGGCCGATGCGACTTGACAAGTTGTCCAGCACACACTCGCTGCCACCGCTAGCAAGGCGAGTAAGCCATAAAAGGTCATTGCGCGACAAGCTGGCTGCTCGGAGTGCTGAATGCAATCATATTACTGGAAGGTTGAGTGGAGGGAAAAACTTATTTAAAAAAGGTGCACAAGTAACAGGAATAAGCATAGAGGTGAAACGAAGCCCAGCAGGTTTGTCTATATGATATTATTCTACAGCATGCCTTTACAAAGGATCTTTCTTGTAGATGCCCTGCTTATGAACTTGCAGCTGTAAATAAAAACATACTGTTACCCAAGGGTAAACTGCAGGAAATGGCCAGTTGTATTGCTATTTCAGCTCTGAGCCACACTCTGATAATGGTTTTTCTACTCCAGCCTCAATCTCAAGATCCTCACATTTTGGACATTCTCAAGAAATCGGGCCACTCGGAGCCGGACAGCTGGCATAAAGTTGTGCTTCTATAAAGTGCTGTGTTTGGTTTCTCTACATATGGAGCTGTGGATCATAGCCAGAAATCTACATTTTAGGATTGTTTGCTAAAAGAGCATTGCTGCAGATGCAACTTTGAAATCTTAATCCATACTATCATATCCTTTTAGAAAGGAGTTTTCACTTGCAATGTTTTTTGTTTTTTTTACTGTAGAGCTGTGAAATTCACCTGATATGCTGACAGGACTCGGTGTGTAAGATGCATCTCCTGGGTTATTTGCAGTTTTACTAAGAAGCACACTGTCTGACCCAAGAAAGAACGGCAGTTGTCTTAAGTGCTTTTTCACTTATGACAGAAGTTCTCACTGCAGGGTGTTGAAATCATAGCTTGTAAAACAGGACCTTATAACCCTTCCTCAATTGATAGAAAAGAACTGCTTCTCCAAGAGTTTTTTGCTTGATACTTGAGTGCTCCAGACCAGCAGGCAGACAAAACTTCTGGAAGTTCTGGACAGTCGGGTAGTAAAGTAAAATCCCTCTGGAGTTTTGCTTAGTTTTAGTTTGACAAAGAATATATGACCTGTGTTGTTCATCTAGGTTTGATTTGCTAAATTTACCAAAGACAAATTAAGGATCAGCTGACATTTGCTTCTCCTGATAATCTTCATAACTCACTTTTTCTTCTCCCCAAGTCAAGACTCAGGTCCTGAAGGATGAAGAGCAACCAAAGTCAGGTTTCAATTATCTAATGACAATAAGTAACTTTCTCATATCAAAAGTGTGTCATCTTGTTTTCCTATAAGGTCACTTCATTGTAGGATGAATTTAAATGATGACCCTTTGGCCTAATTTAACTCATAACCATTTCATACTTTATCTTGTTCAGGAGATTTAATTCAATATGTTAAAGAACAGCTTTTTCCATATTTTGAATTCCTGTCATCATAGCTGCACAATATATTGCAAATTCAGCATTACGGCAGAGTTTCTGTGGGCGGCATGCACAGCGCAAAGAGCTGTGTGGACTACAATAAATGTTCGTTAATTATTAAAATACCATGCAATAAAAGGTTTTTGAAGGTAAAGACACAGTCAGGAAATGAAATTGTTAAAAATAAAAGTATTTTTGTTTGAATGTCAGCAGATGTTGTCCACAAGCAACTTGTTTGATAAAACATTTATCAAATAAGTTACTATTTTCCGGTAGATTGGTAAACTACTAATTATCTGGGGTTTGGGTTTGTTATGAACCCAAAGTAGTAACATCTTTTAAATGCTTAATTATAACAAATGTTACTGACGTCACAGAATTCACTAATATGATTACACAGCACGTTTTGTGATGCTGCCACCGTTTTTGAAAATTAGTTTAGGTGTCGCTAGAAGTAGGCATAAGTTATATTTACATTCTTGGAAAAGTGCTAGGAACAACTTGGCAGTTTCATGTCGATTTTCTGAGAGAATCACACTAAGAAGAATCATTTTTCCAAGGTGTTGGAGGTAATAGGCTTATTTGTTTACAAATTGCCCCAAGTCACTTAATAGAGACTACTGCAATCCTACAATTAACACGCAGATTGTTGTGCGCCATGCATCGTCATTCATAGTCTGACAATCTGTGAATGTCCCTGGTTAATAAATCAAACGCGCCTTTCAACAGTACAATAAGTACATCATTTGTAACATTCGTGCTCTTTGGCTTACTGTAGCCTTGAATGAAGATTGATGAACATGGAGGCCACTGATAACTCCTTTTACCAGCATGTACTGGCAAGAAACATCACAGAGAACCTAAAGGTTTCCACAGTTTACACAACATTAATCATTTATTCAAAAGATATCTAGTCAATAGCTTACTTTCAGCTCTACTGCATCAGTACAAGATTTCCTCAAAAAGTCTCTGCTTTTGCGACTAAAATGAAGACGCAAGTCTCCATCTTTACTAAGATGACTGTGTTTTAGTCTTTTTTTTCCCACAAATCCCTTTTAGCTTTATCATTGTTTCATGCATGACATGATGGAATATGTCAAGTATAAATCTGTGCAATTTGAACTTTATAAATACCTGTTGAAACTCAGATCGTTTAACGTGCTAAACTCTTAAAATGGAGGGTGTGCTTTCATTTCATTTTAATTTTAATAGATGAATAACTCTCCTAGAAGCTTGTTTAATACTCTGAGACCAAATTTCAATAGGTGACCTTTCAATACTATTTTGGAAACACCTAATTCAACTGCTCTGCGTGTAAATAAAACGATCATTTAAGCCTTTGATTTACAAAAAAGAAAAGAATTTAAAAACATCTTTTTTCACTTTCTCGGGGGGGCGGGAGCCGAGGGAAGGGTCAGTACCAGATCCGACATGTGTTGTCCTTGCTGCCTGCAGGGAAGCACAAGCATAAACAGGTGGTCACACAGAAGGACACAGCTGGATGCTTTTCATCTAACATTTGCAATTAAGCAAATGTGACAGCTAGCACGGAGGATTTCATTCGCCCCTCAAGGATTTTTGAAAGTGCACGTTTGTCACGCTGACATGCGACAGCGCGACGTCGCGTCTCTTCAGATACCTGTAATGATGGTGTCCCCCTCGTAGTTGAAGGCACAGGAGAAGATCTCGTCCGTGTGGCCCTCCAGGATTTGAAGGCAGGCTCCGGACTGAACGTCCCACAGCCGGGCTGTCTTGTCTGAGCTGGCCGTCAGGACCCTGCTGCCCTGGGGGCTGAAACAAATCTGCAAGGAGAGGCCGGCATCACTCAGAAGTTTGTGTTTTCAACGTGAGCATCGATGAAGACATCCGTGGTAATACTTGGCAAAAGAAATTCTCGAAAAAAATCAACTGTGAAACAGCCCAGGATTTATCATTCCCTAAATTGTTTTATTTTCTAATGGAGAGGTAAGAGGAATAGAAAATTAAATGAATTGGGCGCTAGTAGGCTATTACCATAAAGAGAGCCTTTATTAAAAACCCCCAAACTGATCCCGAAGGACAGAGAGAGACTGAAGGCTGAACAATGAGAAGCTGGACGATCTGCTGATGTTCAGACTTTTGTCGCTTAAACTAAGCTTCATCATTTATGGTTGCATGTGTTTTGCTTCATGTGTCAGAAAAACAAGACATATGAAGGGATGAATCTTAAAAGAAAGGTTACAATTTACAGTTTTGCTATTTGTTTTGCTCTATGTAGCTTTCGGATTCTCTTCTTTATACAAGTGTTGTAGTCATAGTCTTGATATGTGTCTAGGTTAGTACTGCAGATCTAAAACTCTTTCCATGAGGTATTTTTAGATGCTCCCATTGAAGGCAGACTGCAGTTACCAGGATATGTTAAATTTCCTTCCCTTTAGCTTTGGAGCAAGCTGCGGCGACTGTGAAAACCGAATTTCATAAAAGAGGACATTTTCCCCATTAGGGGGTAATTTAGACTTTACTGAAAAGCAGGAACGAAGCTAATGGAGTGTCCAAGATAGGAAGGATTCCCCAGATAAGCAGCTTCACAATAAACACAGAAGATGTCACATTCACTGCAATTCAAATGGAAGCTCGCGTTTTAGTGATTAGCATCAGTTCCATTTCATTACAAGGCTATCATTTCCTTTTTAAATAAAACATAGTCGAGGTTGGCAAGGTGAATCGGCACATTGAGACTGGAATATGTTGAAATGAGAAGAAAAAGCATGAAGGGCGAGACGCTGAAACAGAGTGAAACATGGTTAACATGCATGTAGGGGAGGGGGAGAAGCCTCCTGTTAGAAACAGATTAGTGTCATAATCCTCTGGAATCAGCCTCCGTGCTGCCTATTTTTTACTGCCTGTCTGTGTTGCAGTAAACACATCCAGAGGACTCCTCTGAGTAAGATCCAGAGGAAAATAAGCTCATGAATAACAAATGTCGAAAATCACTTGCCTTTAAGAACAGGGTAAGCGCAGGGCCAGACAAATCGCAAATTATGCAAAAGCATGTATCGGCTTGACTTCACAAATCCGTGTAACACCAGGTTAACAGTCTCTTTTTTTTTTTCTTTTTTTTTATCTTCGTGCCAGGATTTATGTGTCAAGGCACGCTGTAATGATTGTGCTTTAAGTGGAACGACTGACGGCACAAGGTCAGACTGACAATCAGACCTCCTGAAGCCTCTGCTACTGTCTCTCCATTTCAGCGTCACAATTTATCTTATTTTAGCAAGGTTACCAGAGTTCCCTCCACTTCCAAATTGCGCAACGCTGTGAGGTGGTTCACTTAACTTTTGATGGCTGACATATTTGTCATCTGATTTCTTGACCTGATTTCTAAAATATGTACCTTCCCCTCACATTGCAGCATAAACATACATTTATCCAAATTCCTCGATATTTTGAACATTTATCAGCAGAACAAAATCAAGTAACCCAAAACCCGATATTGGCACAGACTGAAAACAGAAATTGGTCAACCAACCCCCAACATACCTTGGAGATTTCCCCGCCGTGGCCCTTCAGTGTCACCAGACACTGATGTGTAGCCGCATTAAATATTTTTGCTGAACCTGACAAACACAGAGACAGGTTATGTTTGTTTGACGTAAGGCCTCAAATAGTTCGTTTGTGAAGGCGTCGAATAGACGTATGAGAGAGATTTTTTAACGCGACGCTACGGCCTCACCATCAGCGGAAGCTGTAGCAATAAGCTGACCGCTTAAATCAAAACACACATCCAACACCTCCTTTGTATGTCCGACTAGGGTGGCCACACATTTCCCACTGACCGCGTCCCACAGCTACAAAAAAAAACAAAAAAAACGTCACTTTGATTCACATCAAGAGAACATTTCTCTTAAAAATAACACAAATAATTCAAAACATGTAGAAAGACTAGGCATACAAACAATAAAGAAAATTTGTTTAAATGTAAGTAAGTTTGAATGGAATGATTTTCCAAATATTCATTCACCTTATTTGGATAAAAAGTAGTTTAAAGGCAACATCAAACATGCTGAAGTGCAAGTTTTATTAAATTGCTTGGAAGTTTTAAACACTGCAGTGCTTATATACTGTACTACCATACAAAAATAGCATTTTGTATATTGACGTTATATAAAACAGAGCAGGCATTACTTAAAGTTTATTAATAACAAATAAACTTTATTTATTATTATGCACCTGTTGTTTTATTATTAATAATAAATATTCAGATGCATATAAAAATGTAACAGTTTTCAAATATAAGCTTGCCGACCGCTGTTGGCCGTTTACTCCAGCTTTATTTTAGCATTCAAGTTAAATAATGAGAGGATTAGATGATTTGTAAGAGGGATTCAGTCAGGCATGAATAATGGATTGGATATGAATAATTTCTGCATGAAATGGTTCAGAATTTACCGACAGAAAGGACATTTGACAAGGGTTATCATTACAAGTGGGAACATTCCTCACTGAAATATCAACGGTCTCTAAAAACAGCTAAAGAAGATTTTCAGTAAATGTCAACGTGTACTGCTTTTTTTATTCCAGATTGAAAAAGTGCTACAACAGTTGAAGAATCAAAAGTCCCACCAATTCCTACCTTACAGGTCTTGTCAGTGGAACCAGAGGCTATGAGAGAACAATCCCAGTTAAACTGAACGTTACTAATTTCTCCCATGTGACCTATCAAAGTGTGAATGCGTCTAAGACAAAAAAATAAATAAAAAAAGACACAAAATTTAATTTATAAATGCAGAATGTGTATGTACAAACCAAGCGATGACTCATTAAAACTGGACGCACTCGCAGCAGCAATAATAACATCTGACCTTTTGGAAGCAACATCCCATATAGCAACTGTGTAATCAAAGGAGCCAGTGACAAGATGATTGCCAACAGTGTTAAAGCACAAAGAGAGGACATCTACGGTGTGGCCCTGGAAGAAAGAAGAGAAAGAACGTCACTCCCTGCTGACTCATTTCTGCTCTCTGTTATATTCTCGCTCTTTCTCCGCATCTCACAGAAAGAGTTTGGCTCAGGAATTGATTTTTCTCATCATTCAAGATTTAGTTCACGTCATTTAGCTCTACACAATGTGAGGAATTAAAAAAATCTGAAAGACTTCCTCCTAACTCCGAGCCTACAATCTCTGAATCAACACCATTAATTGCCCAGAAGGATTGTTCTGGTGGTGGATTTTTTTTTTTTTTTTTGTTAAATTCCCCTTTAGGTAATTCACAGCTATGCTGTGAAGTACAACTGCTGCCACCAAACACAAAAGAACAGCTCTTTTTAGGAAGTTTTAGTAACGACTACTTTTGCAATATGTGCATCGCTTAAAATACAAGATAATAATGCAAGATAAGCAAGTCGTACAGAACAGATAACTCACAGTCAGTGTGGCCACCTCCTCCCCACTTTCCACATCCCACAGCTTTGCGGTGGCATCCATGCTGCCTGTGGCCACCAGTGTACTCTGAGGGTTGAATGCCAGACACACCTACACAACAGATTCTTCCTTTTACACTTTGATATTTCACTTTCTGCAACAAAACTAAGAGACATGACCTGGATGTATTTGATATATTAAAATTTGATGATAGATACATATTTCCTTTGCTTTGAATCCTCAGTTTACCTTAGCTCTACTCAAATGGCAGACTCAACAAAGTGCATGAATTCTTAACATACAAAAGTGTTTATTACATCTCGTGATGGAACAACTACGAATGCATGGTTATATTTTGTCTTTCATTCCATATCCCTCCATTAGTGTTGTCCAAGTGGTGATAAGTATCACATATAAAATACTCACACCACACCACATATAGTACAAACCACATTTTCACTCTTGTTCATGTTATGACCGTAAATTATGTGCATTTTCCTGTGATTTTATGTTTTTAAAACCAGTCATTTATTTTCTTCTCCCATGACGCACTGTGTTGTGTCTTTATATTTTATAAAAACCCAAGAAAATATGTTGAAGATTGTGGTTGTGACCTAACAAAAATAAAGTGCATAGATACTTTTATGAGGCACTGTGTTATAAGACACTTTTTAAAATAGTACTTCCTTTTTGGGATTATAATGGGAGTTGGAATTACAGTGAGTTGGAAGAAGAAAAAAAGTATTTTATTAGAAATTTGAGGTGAAACTTTATCTTATTTGATTAGCTTGGATGATCTTCTTTCAAGAAAAATAATCTTCCATGTTAAGAAACATAACCACAAGTGGGCAATAGTCTTTGCTCTTTTTGTTTTGGGGAGGGGTGGGGGGCAAATTTTATTTTCTCTCCATGTTTTCTGCCAAAGATATGCATTACGTATCCAAATCGAATCATATTATTGATCCTTAACACAAACTGCTTAAAAACAGACAGTAATTGACTGATTCAAGTTTAAAATACCTACTATTTCAGCCCGGTGTCCACAAAAAGTATGAAAACATTTGCCCGTCTCCGCACACCACAGTTTGCAGGTCTTGTCGAAAGAGCCTGTGGCAATCTTGTCTCTAGGTTTAATGAGGAGGAAAGACAGCGGGAAATGCACGTTTTGTTTTGAACGTTCAACGGAGCAGCAAAATTCTCATATGTGATAAAACAGCTCGTTACCCATAGGGATTGTTGAACGCGATTGCATATACAACGTTCCTGTGACCCTCGAGTGTGTGCAGCTCTGCGCCGGAGGCGGTGTCCCAAACTCTACATGTTCTGTCATAACTTCCAGTTATGAACCTACAGAATTTCAGAGAAAAGAGTAACAACAACGCAGTAAGTAACAGCAGCTATGGGAGAGGGCAGAGGTTAGAGTTAGTGGGGCCACTGAACTATAAGATCATACTGCTGGCAAAGCTAAAGCAAAGTCTGTTTTATCATAACAGCAAAAACATTTAAAACCGACAGTTTTAAATAAGTGAAACTAAAATATAACAAAAAGAAATAGCAGGGGAAAAAAAATCTGAAAAATTGTTATTTGGAAAAATGTGTTTTGTTCTGAGACACGTTATTAGGTTTTCCAGCAAGATCTTTTTCCAACAATTCTAGTTTTTTTTTTTGTTAGAAAACTAGCTACAGCCATTGCATCTGCCAGGTATTTTTTCCTTCTTCTTTTCATTCTTAGCTTGAGAGTTCAGCTCTTTCAAAAGATTTCCACAGGGATTTAGTTCTCATATTGCTGATGGCCAATAATCAGTCTACCATTTCCCCTTCAAAGATTATTTTTGCTCTTTGTGAAGTAATTGAGATTCAAACGAGCAAGACTATTTTGTTAATAAGATTTGTAGGTTTGTCATCATCATTTATTTGCTAAATGTTGCAGTGACAGCTGACTGCATTAAGACTTCTCACCTTGATCCAGATTTATCAAAGGCAATATTGGTCAGAGGCAGTATGTGTGCCTTCAGCTCCTGCAACATGAATAGATATAGATATGAATAGATAAAATATTAAAAGAAAACGTTCCAAGGCAATATTGGCTTAATTCATAATTTAAAAAAAAGTTACCAATTCAACTCCATGTGTAAAATTAATCCATTTATGAAATGAGCAAGCATCTCTCTCCTGGCCTATGAGTGATGGATTAATATGTTCTTTTCTCATTAAAAAAAGTTGGGAAACTCACTCAAGCAGCTGATAAAAAACACTATTAAGCTGTCTTATTGAACATACACATCAAGCACTGTTTACTCACCAAGGCCCAAGAACTGAAACCACTAGCGCTCTCTAGTGACAATTTGGAGGTATGGCTACTGCTATAACAGCTGAACCTCATGCATTTCCCACAAACCCAGGATTGCGTCACCATAGTAAAAGAAATATTTAGAGAATAGAAAGGCACCGAAGTAAGGAAAATTATCTAATTAGTCACATAAAATAATACTTAGAATGACTTTGTTAAGTCAACACATTTCCTTCAAGCACTTTCCTCCGACTTCAAAATAAAAATATAGATTCAAACACTTCCTTGAAAGAAAACCTGGGTGGTAATGATGCTTTCGGAAAATGAAAAATTCTATTTTAATTAATTTCATTTAAACTTCATGTCGAGGAATTTAAATAAGCTGACCTTGCAGAAACAGAACCTGTGGTGGTCCTGCTGACCCTGTTTCTGTTGGAGTCGGAGAACCAACTCTTTGACCTGTTCGGCCCGGGACTCTGTGATCAGAGGCTCTGATTGTCTGATTTCTGACACCAGCTGATCTGTATTTGTTCTGTGAAGAGCGAACGCAAAGCATGGAAAATCAGTAAGTCACTAAAAAAAAAAAAAAATCCATCCATCCATCCATCCTAGTGTTGAAGGACCAAACTCACGCACTCAGGTGTCAAATCCAGAAGATCGATGGATTTGGTCCTCGAATAGCCTCCTCGCTCATATTCCAGGATTATACCTGTCGAAAGAAGGAAATCAATAACTGCATGGTGGTGTCACATTAAAGAACCTGCGAGTTGTTTTTTTTTTGTTTGTTTGTTTATTTGTTTGTTTGTTTGTTGTTGTTTTTTTGGTTTTGAGTTTACCGAACACAATTACCTAACTTTGTCAGCTCCATACAACTGGATAAATGCTAGTTTGAAGTTGGAAACAATTATACACAGTATCGTCATGTTCTTTATAAGAATGTTTAAACCCACATTAAATACAGAAAGAAAGTAATAATAATGTTACCGGGTGGATAATATCTGAGAAGAAACCGCTTGAGTCTCATCTTCTGCCGCAGACCACAACAAACTGTTGCTATGGTGACGACAGCGCGTGTCCGGCTTCACACATGCGCAAAACGTGTAAATTGGGTGGATTAAGATGGGAGTAGACAAAAGACAAAGAAAAGAAACACCTTTAGGAGAAAATAGTTGTTGTTATTGTTGATGCATATATTAGCATAGAACTTTTCATCTTTTGTAGTTGCCTTTAGAAATTATTTTCTACTTTCTTTATAAATGGTTATTAAACTGCACTTTAGAACTATAAAAAAAATATTTCTGGTGTTATGAGTGAGCTTCATGTGTTTCATGCATCTGCCTTAGAAAAGGATCTGCACTAATTGTAACCACAGGCAGCCTTACGCCAGCGCTTGTGAAAATATCAATGCAAGGTGAAAAAAATACAACTTTTTTTATATTATGACCACAAACATGACTGTGCTTTACTGAGATTTTATGCAATGGATCATTATTGAGTATCACATAAATAAACGTTTCCCTCATTTTACTGTAATGCTACATAACATAATCTTGGTTCTCATTTGTTCCTGTGTAAATACTGCAAATTGAGGTCACTAGTGCAATAAAAAACACAAGATATGAAAGTGTAGCTCACACACACTCCCCTTCCAATCTGACTGAACTTGCGCCACTTTGTAAAGAACAATGGGACAAATATAAATTTCAATGTGTGCAAAGTTGGTAGTCTTACCCTAAAATAGTTTCCAGCAGAAATGTAAATGTTTTTTATTTCTAACAAATCTTGTACAACCACGTATCATTTTTTCATTTATGCACTACTGCATGATGATTTGTCATGTAAAATTCCATCTGGTGATTTGCAACACACTTTAGATGTATTTTATAACTATGAATACATTTAGAAGGTGATTTACCCTTTAGTAAAGTTTTCTACATATTACTTTCAATTTGCCAAGTCTTCTATTCCACAAACAGGTCAAAGTCTGCATATACCTGAGTACTGATTACAGTGTGTGTTGCTCATAAAGATTGTGTGTTTGTATTCCAGCTTCTTGTGACTACTGATAGCTTTAACAGAAATCCACCTGAGAGATACTGAGAAGCCAACGTGAACTGATACCTCATCTTGGAAACATATTATTTCAAAGTCAAGCAGCACAAAATTCTGCTGAGGCCATACTATGGGGTACTGGGCCAAACTGAAGTCTTCTGGATGGGCTTACCCCACCATCGTGCTGTCAATCTATGGCTTTCTTGCTAATTGCCGAGTAGCAGAGCCCTTCCTTACACCTTACCTAATTGGACCAAACAAGAACATTTCTGAAGAGGTGGTACGTATTTCGCACACGTTTTATTATATATATATATATATATATATATATATATATATATATATATATATATATATATATATATATATATATATATATATATATATTTTTTTTTTTTT